TGGCGGTCAAGGGCATGTACCTTGGTTACGGGCACATCCCCCGTAGGGAGTGTGCAGGAGTCAGCTGATTGATGTTTCTGACTTTCTAACCCTCTCCCTTCCTCTCTGTAAAAAATCAACAAAATGTATTTTTTTAAAAAAAACCCCACAATATTCTAATCTGATTACAATTCTAGAGATTCCATCCTGAAGGACACAAACGGGCGAGTCCTGGATGGAGAAAGTCCAGCTCTGCTCCTTGAGCAGGTGCTGATGACTGGGCCTGCACATCCATTCTGCAAGCAACAGCACCCAGAAGAGCGCACTTAACGCACAGGAGCCAGCACAAAGCACCAGGCTGCCAGGAAGTGCCCATGTCTTTAGAAACGGGGTTCTCTCCAACATGTGCCACATGTCCCCGCCCAGAGGGAAGGCCACAGCTTCGCCCAAAACATCTGTATTTGGTTACCTCCCAAAACAACAGCTCTTGCTTATTTATTTTTGCATAACTGTAAACAAAAACACGTTTTCATTTTAAAAAGGATTTTCTGGTTTAAAACTCTTAAAAATAAGCACTCTTCACCATTATTTCCATTACTGAAAATACAGCTCCTTAGATTGAATATTGCCTTCAAAACATTTTAAATTAAATATATCACCCTTGCCTGGCCCGTGTGGCTCAGTGGTTGAGTGTCGTCTTATGAACCAGACGGTTACTGTTGGATTCCCGGTCAGGGCACATTGCCCGTGTTGTGGGCTCGAACCCCGGTGTGGGGTGTGCAGGAGGCAGCCAATCAATGATTCTCTCTCATTATTGATGATTCTGTCTCTCCCTCTCCCTTCCTCTCTGAAAAAAAAAATGTAGCGCCCTTGAAAATTAAGAACAAACAATAGTTTGCTGAGCTCTGACATAAAGGATGTAGGGACACTGAAATAAACCTGCCTACGTTTCGGGCCAGTGAACTCGGAGCAGACTGTCCGTGAAAACCAGCTACACTGAAGTCAGATTTATAAGAAAGAGACATAAGACTAATTAAATACCATAGCATAGACAAGAAAACAAACAAACAAGAAAATCCCCAAGTGATCTCTTTTTAAGATAAGCTTCAAAATGATAGGTTTTTACTCTTTCCTGTGAAAGTCTGGGGGAGGGGAGAGTGAGTCTGAGGCCAGACGGGCACCAGCAGCCTCAGACGGCCCAGTTCCTCAGCAGACCTCGTCTTCAGGGAGTTTTGCTTCCAGAATGGCATTCGCTATGTTGTGTTATAACTTTATTTTTCTGTTTCCCCACTGAACTGTGAGCCTCTGGTTTATATGTAGACTCCCTGACACTTCGACCAGACCTGGTCTGGGTGCTGGAGACAGAGCAGTGCATTGTGGAGGTGAGAGCCCTGGTCTCCGGCGCTTATGTTCCAGAAGAGGGAGTGGGGTGGGGGGGCAGACAAGGAAGCTACCTGGTAAATAGGAGACTCTCTGATAGTGACAGGATCTACTAAGGAAATACCACTGGGTAACGGAGAGGAGAACGCCTGTGTGACAATGAGTATCTGACTAAACACTGTTTCAACAAGAGGGTTCATCAATCTCACTAAGAGGTTCCGAGGCACGCACTCCGGGAGGGATGGTGGCTCAGCACTGTGGAGGGATAGTGGCTCAGTACTGAGGGAAGGATGGTGGCTCAGCACTGAGGGAGGGATGGTGGCTCAGCACTGAGGGAGGGATGGTGGCTCAGCACTGAGGGAGGGATGGTGGCTCAGCACTGAGGGAGGGATGGTGGCTCAGCACTGAGGGAGGATGGTGGCCCAGCACTGAGGGAGGGATGGTGGCTCAGCACTGAGGGAGGATGGTGGCTCAGCACTGAGGGAGGGATGTTGGCTCAGTGTCCGCCAGCGCTGGGCCCAGGTGGCATCTCCCCGTCTGTGGGTGGGTCATTCATTGGAAATCTCTTTCAGATGCCCCTGCAGGTGTCTCACATCTTGTTGTCCAGGACTGAGTGTCATGCTCGCCTCTAGACCAGTTACAGACAAAACAGAAAGGCACAGGCATATTCCTTAAGATGTGTTAAAAGAATGAACAAATTCTTAGATAACAACAAAAAGGAAAAAGAAAGCTCATGGATTCCATGAATGAGCCAGCAGCTCTGTCATCCTAGTAATCCCTTCCCCCACCTCCACCCCCACTCCCTCAGCTACGAAGATCATCCTATTTTCAAATTCTGGCTCGGCCACTTCCTAGCTGTTTTTCCTTGGGCAAGTTATCTAGTTCCTCTGCACCTCAGTTTCCCCATCTGTAAAATGAAATTAACCTAGAACTTCTTGTCAAGAGAATGAAAATAAATGGCTACCTATAAAGGACCTACCAGTGGTCCGCAAACTCATTAGTCAACAGAGCCAAATATCAACAGTACAACGATTGAAATTTCTTTTGAGAGCCAAATTTTTTAAACTTAAACTAGATAGGTAGGTACACTGTTATTAACTTAATTAGGGTACTCACTCCTAAGGCTTAGGAAGAACCACACTCAAGGGTCCAAAGAGCCGCATGTGGCTTGTGAGCCGCAGTTTGCCGACCACGAACCCAGAACAATGCTTAGCACTTGATATGCACATACTTCTCTACTGTACGTTATAATCCTTATTTCATCATCTCCACTTGTGGTGTCAGTTGCCAAAGCGGCTGAGAAGAGATGTATTGTTTCCAAGAAGGAGAGATTTCAGTTCTGGGCTGCAGGTGTCCAGGCCCTTTCCTGGCAATGCCTTCCAGAGGGGCTCTGCCAAAAGTCAGCTTCTATACCACAGGCCACCAATTCCTTCTCGTTTAAGAAATATTCAGCAAACATGTATGTAGCACCCACTCCCCCCTGCCTTTCCTACCCGAGGAACTGGGAAGGCAAATAAAGTCCCCGTGTCAGCCAGCTCACGGTCTTGGGCTTGCATTCCCTGTTTCCAGGCACTTCCCAGGCGCACTGCAGGCTGCAGCCGGTCCCACCCAGAGCCCGCGTGCCAGCTTTGCTCAGGCTGTGCTCCGATGGGCGTGGGTCGGCTTGGCCTGTCTTGAGAAAGGCTCTGCTCGTGCCAGTTCTGTTTGGCTGCCTCAGAGCGCGCTGATTTCCTCCCAGAGAGGTAGGAGATGCTGCTTCTATTCTGAGTGTTAGTACGCTTTTCTGCAAAGGGCCATATAGTACATATTTTAGGCTTTGCAAGTCTTATGGTCTTGATGGAAACTACTCAAGTCTACAATTACAATGAAAGCAGACCTAACAATATGCAAATGAAAGGGCAGGGCTGTGTTTCAATAAAACTTTATTTACAAAAAGAGGTCGATGAATGGATTTGGCACTTGGTACACGGGTTGTAGTTTACTGATGCCTGATCTTGTCCCTGAAGCAGCCTTGCTTGTGCCCAAGGTTTTACAAGGTTTC